GAGGTCTGGGTCCAAAGTAAAAGAATTACCAAGCCCATCTACATACTTGTCAGTATATAGTTTCAGTTCAAAGTTCATTTCTTTTATTGTTCCAATTTAATTGCTAGAACAAAATTACATAGGAGCAAAAAAAGAACTGTGACCTAATGTCGTGTTTTTTGTCGTGGCTTATATTCGACACGATACTAATGGAGCTATATCTGGATTCTCCATTCAGTCTGTACGTAGATTCTAAGTCTATATCTATATCTTAACCTAAAAGCACTAGCTTGGAGTCTTTACTGTAGCCACACTACAAGTAAGGTTTGAAGTTTTATGTCGCATTGGTATGAAATTTTATGTCGCATTGGTTTGAAAAATTATGTCATTTTAGTATGAATAATTATGTCGCACTAGTATGAAACAAAAATAAAAAGACTGTATTTAATAGAGTCCACTTGCATAATTTGATTCTGCGTGCATTCGCCGAATATGTGGTCTCCATAAAAACTCCGGGTAAGACCCATTTGTTACAATTCTCGGCTATGAGTATTCAATCCAAACACATAATGCTTTGCAGAGGAGGCCACACGCTTTTTCAGGACGAGGTGGAGAACCAGTCCACACTGAAACACGCAGCTCATCAGCTATTGTTTGCGACTTGGCTTTGTGCTATAACGAGTCTAATTTCCGCAACTTTCAAAAAAGTTTTCTTTCAAATTACCCGTTCGACAAAGTTTTAGCCTACTTTTATTTCTTTGAGTGTCCCAATTGAAATTATTCTTCTAGCTGCCGCCAAAAGACACACCATCAGACATGCCAACTGAACGTAAATTTAAAGACCCCAGAGTCATTTTTGTTCGCCATGGTCAAACAGAATGGTCAAAAAGTGGGCAACATACTTCGATTACCGACCTTGACTTGACTCCATTTGGAGTGATGCAAATGCGAAAGACTGGTGAGTGCTTGATAGGTTCGTCACCTACAAACATGATCAAACCACATAACATCACCAAGGTCTTCTCCAGTCCCAGACGTAGGACAAGACACACCACGGAGCTACTCTTGGAAGCTGTTCCATCAGAGATCAGAGATAAGATCCCCATTGAGTTTGATGACGACATCAGAGAATGGGATTACGGTGATTATGAAGGTAAAAAGACAGCCGCAATTAGACAATCCAGATTAGAGAGAGGTCTCGATGCGTGTGATCGTCCTTGGCTGATTTGGAGAGATGGGTGCGAGGGTGGTGAAAACTACAAACAAGTTACCGAGAGGGTTGATAGATTCATTAAAAAATTGAAACTGATTCACATAAAGGCATTAGAGGATTGCGAGCCCAGTGATATCGTTGTTGTTGCTCACGGCCACATTTTGAGATGTCTTGTGGCGCGTTGGGTAGAAGAGGAAATTAATCATGATCCTAAGTTGATGTTGGATGCCGGTGGTGTTGGTGTGTTGAGTTATCAACACCATAACATCCACGAACCATCCATTTACTTGTCAGGTGCATTCACAGTACCAGTGGAAGAGCAAGGTGCTGATATGTGAGCCTACTTTCGTAATAACAAGCGATCCACTTTCTAAACTTTATAGACTTTTCTAGATTTTTTATGTATTATCATTTTTAGATTGGCAGTGATGTAGTTTCGTCGTCGAGAGGGTATTACTAACACAGTGATGTGTCTAGGGTCATAAATACATCCATACCATTCTAATGTCTATTTTGAATTCAACTCAGCTGCATGCAACGCATCTAACATGCAATTCCAAAACTTTTCAGAGTCTAAATTTTGTCCAACATATACACCTTCATCTTCAGATTCACTAATTGGTAACAGTTTGTTAACTATTATACTCTCTCCTTCACGTTGTCCTTCAACTACGATATTCAATTTTCTCCTCAAATACTGATATCCATACAATGCACAGTCTCCATCCACCAAGGGCAACAAACTGTATACTGCAACAGGATCATGCAAAGGAGGATCACCGAAAGTACCATCCAGTTTAGCATAAGCCATACTGTAGAACATCAATATATCGTAAAATGCTTTTCTCAACGGACTATTTGTTGTTTTGTCCTCTTCATCAAAAATTTGCTTCCTCACAGCACTAGTGGCAACAATCTTGTGGGTAAGGTTCAATGGCGATAAAATCATTCTATCTTGCAACTTGTCCATAACGATTTTCGCGGCATGCGGGTCTGTATGGAAATTGAACTCAGCGTACGGTGTTGCATTCCCCATGCCAAAACTACCTCCCATAACCGAAATGTACTTTATCTTGCCGAGTACCTCCGGGTATTTTTCAATTAAAAGAGCAACGTTGGTCATTGTACCAGTAACAACAAGACAAATCTCGTGCGCATGAGCATCAATCGCGTTTTTCATTGCATTGACATATGAAATCGATGAAACGCATTTATTGATCGAGGTATCTGGAAGTTCTACCCCTCCGATACCAGTTATACCATGAACATTTAAAGCATAGCGTGGTGCGTTCATTAATGGCTTCTCCTCACCCTTGTAAACCTTGACATTGAAAATATTTAGTAGGTCCAAGAGTGCCAATGTATTGTGTGTCGTCATATCCAATGGGGCATTACCGTGGACTGTGGAGATCCCCAACAATTTATACCTTGGACTGAAAAGAGATAGCAATATCGCAAATGCATCGTCATTTCCCGGATCACAGTCGAGCCAAATTGGAATTTGTTGTATTGTCATAAGTTGGGAGTGGATAGGTATTCTGATTCTCGACTTCTGTTTAGTGAAGAAGTTTTCTTTATCTGGGGTTGAAAAGTGGTCTCCTCCAAACCTTCATTAACGAATAGTATATAGCTGTAAGCAAGACTTGTAGTGTGCTGGATCAGTGGTACCGTAAGAAAAAGTAGTTCGAAGCTTGCAAAAGTTTTTAGCGAAAAATACGAGAGAGACAGAGAGAGAGAGAGAGAGTGTGTGTGTGTGTGTCACGCATATAAAAATCATTTGAGGGGTAATCGGACTTCAAACCTTGGCACTTCCAAATACTAAGAACTGTTAAGCACATTCAAGGCACAAATCTTTGACTTGTTACCTGCTTTTAGAGTGCCTGAGCACAAGAACAACTTCATTTCCATGGAGAGCCCAAGCAGAGTACGCGGGATGTGCACATACGTATTGGGCAAAAGAAATGCGCTTTTGTAGATGGGAGCGGGTAAGATAATTTCGCGACACAGGTTGTGATTGATGAACTCGGTCAGTGGTAAGTGCACATCAGTCTTGTTGTAGAAGCCATTGATATTGAGTGATGTCACGGTTGTTTTGTCGAGATATCTTCGGACAAACGTCTTTCAGTACAAGACGGCTTTCTTTTTTTTTTTTTTTTTTCTTTTCTTCCCGTTTGTGTCAAATTTGCGCTTTTCAAGATACCAGCATCTAAGGACGCTTGAGATACACATACTAATACATTTATTAAGCAATTTCTATTCAATTACGTATTGAAAATGCAATCAAGTTTGAGGCTGTGTCAAGTGTAATGGCCTTTTATTCTTCAAGTGTCCCACTAGTTGCCACCTTTTCACCCATCTCCCCATTTTCAGAATTTTCTAACCGCTCCCATTCCCTACAAACAGCATATCCAACTGTACCGATAACGTCCTCTGCCCAACATATATCTAGATGGTTGTAAGTCGGTATATTGTAGTATTTGAAATTTTGGCCTTCTGTATAGTCTGGTTCATAATGTTGCATATGCGAGACTAATCGTTTCCCATCCACGAGGTAATCATCGTCACCAGAAAATATAAGCATCGGCACCTTGCGAGTATTTTTAAACCACGAGCTACAATAGGGAAACGTCATCTCGGCATCGTTCGATTTAAAAGTTTCGGCAGAGTAATGCCCGCCATTAAAGTATGTTTCCTTAGGTTGCAACATGTCCACGAAACCACCTGATGCAAAATTTGCCAAGTAATACTGCATCAATTCCACTGACACGTAGCTCATGCAGTAAATGAAGAGAATATGCCACACAAACTTATCTCGACCCCAGTTGCGTGCTGTCCATCCGAATAAAAACTTGAACAAGTAATAAGCTAGTTTACCAAACAACCACAAGTGAGCCATGCGGTCCCGCATAAGACACAAATTTCGAAGCATGGCGCAAAAGCCAAATATCATGGTCCATGCAGACTTAGGAAGTTTGATAAGTATTTTGATAAATGATCGTGTATAGAATATTTGACCAGGGTATACAGCCGGTGCCAATGGCACAAACAAGTCAATCTTGTCATGAATAAAAGAAAAGTGCGGATTCAGCAACATAAGGAAACTTTGAAGACCACCCTGCAGATGTCCAAACAAAGTGAGTTTAGTATGTTTTGGCTTCATGATCATCACCGTTTCAATCATGGCAGGCAAGTCTTGATACGCCAACTCTTTCATCCCCCACTTCCAGTATAATTCACTATTGTACAAATTACCCTTGATAGTTGCGTGTTGTGCTTTAAACCATGAGCGGTTGTTTCCCATCCAAACGTCTTTCCCTTGTTCGTGAAAGTAATACGCCAACGAATTACGTCCGCTGGCAATAAAGTTTCCTGAACACGACAATAGCCCATGTTGGAGGAACACGGGTTTTCTCAAATCCCTTTGCTCTTGCGTTTCCTTTGGATCTATTATGTGGTGCAATACAAGAATATAGCCGTCGGCGGTGGTAACGCTGTATTCCTCTAAATCTAAACCCAATGCTTGGAGATAGTATTGCAAGTTGTCAGTTGCCTTGAGAGACTTTATATTGTCATATGCTACCCTAGGTACATACCCGTGGGCACGTACTTCAACATCTGGTGGCTTCAACCGATTCTCGCCCTTGATTCCTTGGTACCAATCATGAATTACGGCACCAGTACATAAAATTGTCATGTAAACGACCGAGCACAAGGAGCTGATTAATATAATGGCATATTTCTGAAACCAATTGTAGCGTAGCTCCTGCCCACGTTCCCCTTTACTTTCATCTTTCATTTCCTATAATGGGACTGAAGGAGATCCAAGCTATGGTAATTTGACAAAGATTTCAAACAAAATTGCAAAAGACGGGAATGTTTTGATTACCCGCGAAAAAAAAAAAAAAAAGTATAAAAACACAGACCGGAGATAGAAGAATTACATCCGGGACCCTTTCTGAGATCAGACATAAGCTCATTGGTGGCGGTTACCGGTGGGTACGAGAGGTTCAGCTACATCGTCAAGCAGTTCTTGATTATCCAAAATTTCATTTTTTTTTTTAAGGATTTGCAGGGAATTCTTGGCAAGATACCCACAACGAGACGTTAAATACAATGGATAGCGAGTAGAGAGACCGAGCAGAAAATAAAAAGATACATGGCCGCTGTGAAAGCGAACAAGACAAGCCATCAAACACTCAATATTTTTCGACAAACTTTTCAAGTTCCAACTATAACTCCGTTGGCCGACATGAACTGGTACAACCTTTCAGAATTTTATAGGGTCAGAAGTTCTCTAAAGCGTCTGTGAAAATGTAACAAGATATAGTTGCGCCAAACGCCGTCATCACATCGAGAAAAAACCCAACGGAGAGTCCGTAATTTTCCTTCAAAGGAATCGATCCAAAGATCAACTACAACTTCAAAAGAGGGCCGTAATCAATGACTAGCACGCGAGATTTTCATCATGTAGTATAAAACTTGGAAGGTCATACAAAGAAAAGAGAAAAAGAGAAGGGGAAAAACGAAGTAAAAAAAAAAAAATTTTTTTCTTTCGTCTAAAGAAAAGTCATGCTGCAGAAGAGTCGTGAGAAGTGGAAAAAAAAAAATAAAAAGGAACGCATCGTATTAGCATCTCATCGAACATTCATCAGATACAGCTTGAGAGTTTCACAACCTTTTCTCGACCTCTCCGAATTTGTGATTCTACAATGCCACCCAAGAGAAAATCATCAAGAAGGCAAGATCCTACTCAAAAGAAGAGACAGCAAGAGGGGTCCACAGAAACATTATCGTTCGAGAATGTAAACTCACTTGGAGAAGAGATCAAGAATGCATCAAAGTTCAATAACTTTGTCGTACTACTTTCGCAACTCCAAAATGTTCAAAAGATTCTTGCTGAAAAGGAAGACAAGGAATCGGAGACTTTGGGCCGTCAAATTTTGGCTGTACTTTTTGAACGATTTGAAGCATTGCTCAATGAGGGGATGATGAAAGGTTCCAGCAAACACGATGAAAAACAGAAGTTGGTAATCAACTGGCTAGCAGACAAGTACCAAACTTTCAAGACAACCCTTACACAGCTTCTACTGTCTAGGCTATATTATGAAACGTCCATGCAGTTGGATGCAATGGAAGTATACTTGAATTTTGTCAAGTTGGAAAGTAAGAGTGCAGAAAACCAATTTCCCAAAAAGACGTACCAACAGCTTGTTGAATCATTGTTACATAGTCATGCAGGCGATTCTTTACCTGATGGAACGTCTAGTAGCTTCATCACTTTAGAATTTAGTGAAATTTTCAAAAACTATTGGGATTTGCAATTTTACTTTTTTGACATATTGAACGGCACCTTATCCACTTGGAAAGAAAATTTATCAAATGCCGAACTTGAAAGAATAGTTGCCAACTTTGTCACAATCATACGGAATGGATTAAAGTTCAGTACAGAGGATCTTGAGAATGAGCCCACTTTTGTTGCCAAAGATGTTTTGCCTTCTGCAATATACAAACACAACAAGTTCAAATCACAGTTTCAAAAAATTGTATTGACAATTTTGTCTTATCCTTTGTCGCCAGCGCAATACAAAGCTATTTTATCAATTCTACATAAACGTATTATTCCGTACATGGCTCAACCTCAAGGCTTGATGGATTTTTTGACTGATGCGTACAATTTACAAGACGACTTAATCATTCCCATATTATCACTCAACTCGTTATACGAGTTAATGAAGAGGTACAATTTGGAGTATCCTGATTTCTACTCCAAGTTATACTCATTATTGAGACCTGATTTGTTTTACACTAGGTATAGGTCGAGATTCTTTCGTTTGTGCGATTTGTTCTTGTCATCAACCCATTTATCTGCTACGTTGGTGGCTTCGTTTATAAAGAGGCTAGCAAGATTGGCTTTAACTTCAAGCGCATCGGGTGTCGTCATTATCATTCCATTCATTTATAATTTGCTAAAGAGACACCCCACTTGTATGATAATGCTACACAATACGGATGGTTCACAAGTAGGAGATCCATTTGACAATCTTGAAACAAATCCTTTGAATACAAAAGCGATCAAGTCGTCCCTTTGGGAGTTAGAAACGCTAATGAGTCACTACCATCCCAATATTGCCACGTTGGCAAAAATTTTTGGAGAGCCTTTCAGGAAGCCCAATTATAACATGGAGGATTTCTTGGATTGGAGTTACCAGAGCTTGTTGGAGACAGAGAAATCACGTAGGTATAAGAATCAAGCAGCCCTTGAATTTGAAAATTTCGACTCTGTTTTGTCAGAGCAGGATAAAGAAGGGAGCGCTTTATTAGAAGGGTGGTGTTTGTGAGAGAAGAGTTAGGCTGTGGATATAAATGAGTTTTAGAATACGTATTGGGTTGCACAACAGAACCAGTAACAACAATGTTAATTGTATATGGCAACAAACAGTGTAATTTAACCCTTTTGGGAATATTAATAAGACGCGTAGTGTATTTTTTTATTTTTTTATTTTTTTATCTTCTGCATCAACACAACGCACTCCTGAAATTCAAAAAAATTTTCTACATGGAACGTAACAGATATTTCCACTTCTTTTCTCAAGTCATTGCCCAGTTCTTTCGTTAAAACAGCCAAGCCATGGATGATACTACCCAATATGATGAGCAGCCCTTGGATGCTGTTTTTGGAGACAGAGTAAGACGATTCCAGGAATTTTTAGACAGGATAGATGCCAATACTGGTGTTGATTACAGAGCCCAAATCAGAGATTTAATTATCAAAGGTAAATATAGATTAAATGTTTCAATTGACCAAATCAGAGATTTTGATAGAGAGTTTTGGCAAGGATTATTAAACCAGCCTGCTGACTACTTGCCAGCGTGCGAACGTGCGTTAAGAGACACGGTTTTGACAATTTACGACCCAAGTGATTCATCTTTTCCAAGTGATTTTGACGCAAACCAACAGTATTACTTGAGTTTCAAAGGGGCTTTTGGTGGCCATTCAATTACCCCAAGGTCCATAGACTCAAACTACTTATCAAAAATGGTATCGATAGAAGGTATTGTCACTAGAGCTTCTTTGGTTCGTCCCAAGGTTATTAGATCCGTCCAGTACGCAGATGCAACTGGTAGATTCTACGCAAGAGAATATAGAGATCAAACGACATCTTTTGACGCTATTTCGACGCCTCCAATCTACCCTACTGAAGACATGGATGGTAACAAGTTGACCACAGAGTATGGATACTCAACGTACAAAGACCACCAGAAAATTTCAGTACAAGAAATGCCAGAGACTGCCCCCGCTGGTCAGTTACCCAGATCCGTGGATGTCATTTTAGATGATGACTTGGTGGATCTCACAAAACCAGGAGACCGTGTTCAAATTGTCGGAGTTTATCGTGCATTGGGTGGAGGAGTAAATAACAACTCTTCATTCAAAACCGTCATTTTGGGTAACTCGGTTTACCCATTACACGCTAGGTCCACAGGTGTTGCTTCACAAGAAAAGATTACAGATCACGATATTAGGAATATTAACAAGCTTTCCAAAGACAAGAAAATTTTTGACATATTGTCACAGTCGTTGGCTCCTTCAATTTACGGGTTTGAACATATAAAGAAAGCTGTCTTGTTAATGATGATGGGAGGGGTGGAAAAGAATTTGGACAATGGTACACATTTGAGAGGAGATATTAATATCTTGATGGTAGGTGACCCTTCGACTGCAAAGTCTCAAATTTTGAGATTTGTTTTGAATACCGCTTCGTTGGCTATTGCTACAACTGGGAGAGGATCTTCTGGTGTTGGTTTGACTGCCGCAGTTACCACCGACAAAGAAACCGGAGAAAGAAGATTGGAGGCCGGTGCAATGGTTTTAGCTGACAGAGGGATTGTGTGTATTGACGAGTTTGACAAAATGTCGGACTCAGATAGAGTGGCAATTCACGAAGTAATGGAACAACAGACGGTCACAATTGCCAAGGCTGGTATCCATACATCTTTGAATGCTCGTTGTTCAGTTGTTGCAGCTGCTAATCCAGTGTTTGGCCAGTATGACGTTCATAAGGATCCACACAAGAACATTGCCTTACCAGATTCGCTATTGTCTCGTTTCGATTTGCTATTTGTTGTTACAGATGATGTCAATCCGACCAAGGACAGGGTCATTTCGGAACACGTTTTGAGAATGCACCGATTTGTGCCACCAGGAATGATGGAAGGGGAACCAATTAGAGAGAAATCAGGTGTTACGTTGGCCGTTGGTGACGATGAAGTGAATGAACAGGAGTTATCGGAGCAGCCCGTTTTTGAAAAATTCAATGCATTATTGCATGCTGGTGTTGCAAGAAATTCCAAGAAATCACCTACTATCTTGTCTATTCCATTTTTGAAAAAGTATATCCAATATGCCAAACAAAGAATCAAGCCTGTGTTGACGAAAGCTGCTTCAGATTATATTGTCACTACCTACTCGTCACTTCGAAACGACTTGATTGGTAACAATCAAAGAAACACAGCTCCTATCACTGCGAGGACTTTGGAGACATTAATTCGGTTAGCCTCAGCTCATGCTAAAGTGAGATTGTCCAAAAGTGTTGAAGTCCAGGACGCTAAAGTTGCTGAAGAAATGTTGAGATATGCTTTGTTCAGGGAAATTGCAAAGAAGCAAACAAAAAAGAGAAGAACTGTTGCTGAAACTTTTGATTCGGAGCTGGAATCTGATGAAGACTCGGAGGAGGATGTTGTTAGTACAAGACCATCCACGAGAAGAACCAGGTTAATGGAGCAACAACAGCAACAGCGACAGCAACAGCAACAGCAGCAGCAGCAGCAAGGAACTCCAGACACCACACCAGAACCACCTTTGGGTGAGCAGGACCAAGATGGGGACACCGAAGAAGTTGGCGATGAGTTGGAGCAATTCCACATAACAAATGAGAACGAACAACAGACCAACCAGCAGCAGGACGCTCCTCAAGCATTGAACGTACATCCTCTCAGCGATAGAGCAACAAACACAGCACACCAATCCAATATCAGTTCTGAAAGGTTCCAAACGTTCCGCAGAGTGCTACAAAGAGTTATTCGCTCAGATACTTTTAATGGTCCAGAATCTCAGCGTGTTGCACCAATCGAGAGCGTAAAGAGTGCGATCAACGAGGAAATGGCACAGGAGGAGAAATTTGCAGATTCTGAAATTGAAGCCGGACTTGAAAAGATGCAAGAGGATAACAAGATTTTCCTTGCTGAGGGCAAAGTTTGGACCATGTAGTTTTAGGTGGTATGGATTTAATTTTTGGCGGTTTCTATAGTGTATTAGTTAAATGGTGAATGTTATTTTTATAAGTTTTGTTCGATATCATGCGCTGGTGTATCGATGATAAAGTCGCATCGGTAGCGCAGAAGCATAGAAAGAAGACATCACAATAAAGGAGACCCTCACCTTCTTATGACCAAAGGTATCTGTAGTAAATGACAACTCTCGTTTCAGACAAGCACCACCCAGATGAAATCGACAAAACGACAGACACACAGGACAACTTGCAATTCGAAAGGTCTTCCTCGCCGGGAAAAGTTGGAAAGCGGAAAAAGAAGAAGAATCGAAAGAACAAGAGGAGGAATCGAGCGTTGGAAGATACCCAACAGGAAGCAATTTACAATCAGCCCGAGCTCGAAATTCAGCAAGACGAGGCACAGGAGAACGACTACGAAAATAGTGAATACCTGTACAATGGCGAATTGTTGATGCACACGTACTACACCTTACCACCGTCACTGCAAAAATTTTGGAATCGAAGATATGAATTATTTTCGCGATACGATGAAGGAATATACCTCTCAGCAGAACTATGGTACAGTGTTACACCTGAGTTGATTGCCAAATACATTGCGCAACTATTTGTGAAAATCCTCCCACCCGAAGCAGAGTATGGATTGGACGTGTGCTGTGGAGGAGGCGGGAATATGATTCAGTTTGCTCAATTTTTTGACTCGGTAGGCGGTATTGAAATCAATGGTACGAATTTATACTGTGCCCAACATAACACTGAAGTATACGGTGTTAAAGACAAGACATGGACTTTGCAAGCCGATTGGAGAGAGATTACCCGGGTCAAGGATAACAAAGAGGTGAACTACGATTGGATTCCTCAAAGTGTACGGGATGCAAGGAGGGATGTACCACCAAACAGAATATTCGACTTTGTCTTTAGCTCGCCCCCATGGGGTGGTACTAGTTACGATCGCCTGGAGTTCAATTTGTACACAATGGAACCATTCAATATCACAGAGCTTTTAAAAACAATGACCCAATACACAAACAATATTGGACTCTTTTTACCAAAACTGTCAAATTTGATGCAATTGAGCTTGGCTACAAAAGAGGTATATGGTGATTACAAAAAGTGCAGGGCAGTATATATAAAATCCAAAGGAAGATGCGTTGCCTTGTTGGCGTTGTTTGGTGACACATTTACATCCAGATTCGACGAGTTGGATGATATTAGTGAGGACGCTTTGTTGGGACCGGCTGTAGCTATGAATAGAAAAGAATGAAAACAAAAAAATAAAAAAGTTCCTTTTTTTGACCCTTTTTCTCTTTCGTTTAATCTTTTCTGGAAAATATGGTAGGAATGCACATCTGACAACAAAACAAAATAATGCATTTCTTCTTCTCCCACACTGCACATTAGGCAATGAGGCGAGTAACCAGCAAAATACTACAGGCCGGCACATGAAGACATGCTGAACCTGTTTTACCACTTCAGTTCACCACCAGTAAGGGAGGCACAACCATCCGAAGCGGCTAAACTTGCAGCTGAATCCTCAAAATTGAAACCATCCTTTGAATGGTATAAAATAATATAAATTAAAGTGTACACAAAGCACAGGTATTTCCGAACCACCCCGCCCCCCTGCTTCTTTTATCTACTTTACCTAACAAATATGATAGTCCTGTCGTGTAAAGTATTGGTACTTGCTTTCACTCCTTTCAAATCTAACCCCATGTTTTGCTATTGTGTTCATTGACGTCATTTCAAATGCATGTTCAGTGAAGCTATGCTTCTTTTGTAAAAATCCTATAATAGTATTTAACGAGAGTTGAAGAATCCATCAACAAACAAGAGCAGCATTCAGGAAACTAGTTTTTGATGAGGTGTAAAGTATATAAATGAGAAACGCAGCTAATTGCCTCTTTGTTTACCTTTCGAAGACCAGAAACTTGGAAAATAATCTCTGCAGGAAATAAAATTTGCTTTGTTTTGTTGCAGTTTTGAATCTCGTAAATATTTTCTACTTTTAGTTCTGTCGCTGAACCCTTTTGTAAGAGGATTACAAAAAACTTTGTTTTACACAAAACCTTAAATTTTATCGCATCGTTACACATTATGCAATGTTTAACCTGTTACAGGTCACCACTAATAGTGTCGCACTGTCTAAAATGGAGTTCCAATAGCTTAGAAGTGGACTGGCTGAGGTGTATGAAGACGAGCCCATTGAGGGTATTTACAAAGGATTCTTTTCTTCTTTTTCTTTAACTTTATTTTTTAAACTTTTTTTTTTGAGTCATAGGACTGTTGGACGAATGTAAGTACTTTGAAATTGCTTCTGCTTGAAAGTTTGTTGTTTATGTAAATGTGCTAGGTTATGTCTCTATTTATTGTGTTTTCTTGATTCTAGATTAATAATTAGATTTGCTTGTTTTGAGTAAGATTACCACAAGACAATTTTATTATATCACAAGCATTACATGGGTAAACACTCACAAATTAATGCGAATTTCTGTGTCGTGATAGAGCGGACTCATACTCTTGAAAATTATTAAAATTTGAATATTCTATTCATCTCGTACTGGCGAAATCAACCATGAATGGTAAAGCCAGTAAAGAACAGCAAATGGCACAGCAGGTTCAGAACAACAAAAAACGTGAAGGAATAGAGTCAATCCCAGAAGGATTAGCATGTGCAATGGATATGCCTTTTATAAAACAGGCAACGACAAACCTAGAGCCCTGAAATCATTACTCAAAGATACTCACATCAAGTTACAATCAATTGGGATATACCAGCAGATTTAGAGAAAGAGATGTCTCTGGCTTCAAATAGTTCCGATGATGAAAGTTCAGTTTGATAATCTTGGAGTCTTGGATACGAACGGTGATGAAGTACAAGAAAAAACAAACATGTCTAGTGACATGGAAAATTGAAACACACGCTGCAGGAGTCGATGTTGGACATTTGAGTTCAAATATAGAAGTTGAAGAAGGTGACGCAATTTACAATGAGTCAGTTTCATCTAATGATGAAGGAAATTCGAGATTTGATGGTGATGATAGCAAGTTTGTCAACAATACCGATTGGGATCCTGATCATCAAATCAGTGAGTAAAATCTTGATTTTGAATGTGGTGTAATAAAAACCTACATTTTTTAAGTTGAGAACTTTATTAACAAATTTAATGTGAAGATTAACTTGCATTTCAAACTAAGTAACAAACTACATAAAATTGTGCTGACCCAACTTCTTGTATAGCACTCTCTTGCAGCACAGGTCCCATTGCGATCCACACGTAACACACTTCTCTTCCACCTCCCAAACTATATAAGCAACACTTC